AATTGAAATGGAGAAAATAAATAAATATATAAGTTTAAGGTAACAAACTAATTAATAAAACTGCTTTGTCTTAATTGAAATGGAGAAAATAAATAAATATAGTTAACTTAAATGCATTTGAGGAAAATTTATTAGCGTACAAGGATCAACAAGTAGTAAAGTAGCTAAAACCAAGAAAGAGATTTCGTAAATATTATAAACTCTATTATAGCCATCACTCTTAAATATAGAGATTTTTATAAGTAAAAAAGAATATATAGTAATTGAATTTATTTGTCCTTTTTCTTTTTTTTTTCTTTTTTTAATACCTGATATATACTCAGCTTTTATTAGATTATATAGTTTTATGCATGGCTCCAAATAAATAAATAATTAATTTGCCTAATAATAGAATAATCAAAATCAAGTATCATAAGACCAATTTAATTTGTCGAAATAATGGCTAAATTCTTTTTAATCAATCAAATGGATATATTTTTTGGGTTAAATTTCAGCATTAATTTTTTATTTTTATGATGACATCCTAAAACAATTTTAATACTATGAACACTACCACATAATCAATTCATAAATTGGTCTTCCTCTCTAAAAATAAAAAAAACTTTATTTGAGTTGTTACAATTGCATTTCCATTCAGAAATTATTGAGGGAGAAAATTATCACTATTTGCATATAGGAATACAATTGTTAAAGCTTACAGGCTAGAGGGTTCAACTAATAATAGTTAGAGAATATGGATTTCCAATTTCCAGTACTGCCGATAAAATATTAATCAACATGATTAATAGATCAAATCTGGGATATGTTTTTGCAAATTGTTAAATGGCAAGTAGATTAGACGTTATAAAGTGAAACAATTAGTCCAGTTACACATATAATTAATACTAATGATTCCATAATGTTGCTAAGCCTCCCTTATATATATTGTCTAATCTTTGCTTATAAAGTAGGAAATGGTTTGATTTAAACATCTAATTTGACATAATAAAATACTTCAAGCTTAATCAGTTACCAAATTATATAAAAAAAGGACTCTAATTTTTATCAAGGCAGCCAGCTATTTTGCATTTGACATCTTTTAACCTCCCATTAGAAACAAATAAATTTTATGGACAAAGTTAAAAACAAATTAATTTATGGACCCAAAGCTTAAGCAATCAACAAGTTTTTTTTTTTTTTTTTATCTTTAATGAGATATTGGGCACTATTGGTTTTAAAAAAATAAAATATGAACGAATTGAACACTAGTTAAGTATGGAATAATTATCCCAACCCATATGAAACTCCATCATCATATTATATAGTATTTTAAGCTGGCAATATATAGTATTTAAGCTCAATTTATTTAACTTATGTCCAATTTAGTTTTAATCATAAGATAAAAATCCATTAAATAAATAGAAGTATATTTCAAAAATAAATCTTTTTAAAGTAGGATATGGAGCATACCTTTTGTTGAATAGTAGCAAGAGGAATACACATTTTTTTCATAATCTGTAAAAGTTGTTTCCAACGTTTGCTCTAGTTTTCTTTTCCATCATTGAATCATATCCAGGTCTTATCTATATAAGTTGTAACAATAAAATTACAAAGCAGTCCAATTGTATATCAAATAAGAATCCCTTGATTACTGAACAAGGTTACTAGGCTACCTGAAATACCAAACAAAATAACAGAGCTTAGTATTCTACCCCGCCAATATCCAATAAAACTTTATATAGTTAACACTTTTTTTTTTTTTTTTTTTTGTTTTTTTTTTTTTTTTTTTTTCAATTCTCTTTAGTATTTACTTTCTTACTCTCTAGATTGTTGCTTTATATTCCTTTATTGTTTAAATTGAATTATTATCAGTGACTCTGTAGGCATGTTCCTCTGCATGACCAATGGGTTTAGGACTATCTTATAGTCAAAAATATAAATTTTGCACTTAGCTAATGATTTACCTAGAAGGCATCAGTTGAATTTATCGTCTACTATATGATGTTGGATATTGATCTCACAAAAAGGTACACTTTTATATCTCTGTCTTACTTTCAATTATTCATTGCAAAAATATGCAATTTCTATTGCCTAGTTGTGTCCATATGCTAGCATATATTAGTTCAAGTAATTCATTTTTCAATGGAGAACTAACGCCTTTGATGAATATAACCAGAGAACAATTGAGGGGATAAAAAAGGAAAAGAAAATAACACAACAAAGAAAAAGAAAAATTGAATTGGAAACGGCTTCAACTAGCGCAGGAAACACAGCATCCAATATTTGAAGTTTTAATATTAATTAAATCATTCCTTATCCAAAAAATAAATATTCGCTTACCTCATAGCTGGTGCAAACAGCGGTTCTCTCTGCGAGGAAACATAGTTCCACTGCCTGAGAATCGAAACTTGTCCCCTCCAAGCCCAAAACTTTTCTACCATATATATATTCTTTTAAAAATAAAAGGTCCACATATATATTCTTTTTTATAGAATATCAGAAAAGTGTATTCCACGCTTACCACAACATTTGTTAACTATCAGAATTGAGAATTGAGTAAATTGTGAATTATTCCCTACTTGAAGTAAATTTGGGGTATATAAATTAGAGTCAAGATAAATTCTACTAAGATAAGGATTGTGAGAATCCTACATCATGTGTTAGTTGAGTTTATTTGAGAGTCTAATATCCCTCAATATATTTTTATATATTATTATTTGATCTATTTTATTATTATATATTATTAGTGTCTAAACGGAAAATCTTAACGACTGAGTATCCAAGGTAATTAAAAATGCAATCAAGTGTCTATTTTTATCTAAAGGCAGAAAATATGAATCAACATAAAATGGGGCACACTTAATCCTAGTCACCCGATGACTTGGCATGACATGTCATCACACTCTTATTTACAGCTGAAACTGATGCGGCAAAGAGAATGAAAGGATTAGTTTATCCTCCCTTTCACACTCTTTGACGTTTAACTTGTGCAATTAAAACTTGAAACTGAAATTTACTAACTCAGAAACATTCGTGTCGCTACTAAGATAAGAAACAGAGAATTTCTTCATGCACAGTGAAACTAACCCTAGCTATCCAAGATTGCAACCGTGGGAGACAAGGAAAATCATAATGTGACAGAGATGGAGCAAAGGTATCGTAGGCACTTAATTTTTACTCCGGCAATGTGACTCAGTGCGTGATGATAACTTTTTTCATCATAAAATAAAATTGGGATGTCCAATCGCCTTGATTCATGGACTAATGGTCCAAGTTTATGAAATTTGAATTATTTGACTATTTTTACATTTTTAGGTTTCCAAGGATTTTCGTATCGAAACAGGCCCGAGAAGCGCCTTAGGTTTGCCCGAGACGCGTCCCAGTGCACTGTCTCATTTGGCGTGCCACCTAGACTAATTTTATAAAAATGGGTCCAACTCGATTTTGGAGGCATCAATTGCTCATGCCAACTAAGCCCCAAATTAGGGCCACCTAATCACCCCATTTGCCTATAAATAGGCGAAGGGTTTAAGGAATTAGGGGTTGGTTTTTGATTACATAGAGAAACTCTTGAAAATTTTTCTCTCACTATTGATTTAAGCTATACTATTGATTATAGCTTGAATCTAGAGGATTAATCTTTATTTTTTGATAAAACTATATTGAGTTTCTTGATCAAATATCAACAAACACTTATATAAATCTTTAAAACTCGGATTGTCAACAAGCATAAAGGATTTTTAGTTATCTTAAACCATTTTCATCCAAATCTTTGGGTTTTCTTGAAAACAAGGTAATACCTGAGAGTCTCATCTCATTTTCTTTATCCTTTTCTTTTATTTAGTGATTAAAATCACCCTATCTTTGTTAATTGTAAGGGAAACCCGTCATCGATCAAATCCTGTTGATTGTATAAGCAATGGCACACGCCACTACTCAATGGTGCAAGCCACTCGTAGTGGCACACGCCATTACATTACAGCTAAACAGCTCAACTATCATTTCCTGGGCTTTTGGTCTTCGAAAGTCCCTCACTCCACAACTCCTATGGCGTATGCCATTATGTGTGGCGTCAGGCACTTCAATTTAGAGACTCAGAATTGATAAATAAGCAATTGAATCCTAATCCTGGGATCCATTTTAGTCTAGCACTAAGCATCAATGCTTTCAATGGTGTTTAAGATTCATATGGGCCTTAACAAACCATAATGATCAAGAAATGGGTTGTGATAGTCATATTTGTTCATCATTTAGGATGAACATCAAAATTTTGAACTCAAATCTTGAAATAATCTTTAAATTAATGTTTTTACTTTACTGCTTTTTATTTTTATGTACTTTAAATTGCAGTCATTTAAGATTCAAACACTTTATATTTATATCATTCATTTATTGTTACTCTAACCCTTCTAACTCTTGATTTATTTCCTTATTCATTCTCACATTTGATTGCAATTATGTTGTTTATTGTTATTGATTATTGCTTTGGATTGTATTTTTGTGATTGCTTGTAATTAATTCATTTATGCTTGTTTTATCTTTTATTTATTGCTTTTGTTTTAATGGGCATTATGTAAAGAGTTCATAATCAACCCTAATTAGTTGCTTTATTGTAATAATTAAGTGATATGTGAAATTATATTGGGTTCAAGGGTAGAATGTAAATTAGATAATTGGTTTGCAATTCTTTTCTCCTCGCCCATTCTTTGTATGATTTTAATTTTATGTTTTGATTGATTATTAATGTCCATGTTTGCCATATTTTGAAAATTGCATTAAAATCATTTTTGTTATCTCAATTAAGGTTAATCGTAATATTAAAATTGTGAATGAAATAGAAAATTGAGTTTCAACGCGTGACAAAAGTTTTGAAGATCGTAAATACCTCAGATTTGAAACAAAGATAATAAATCCAAGTAAACCAACTATAATCATCAATAACTGTCACAAAATATTTATAGGTGTGGTCCTCCATACATCACTATGAATAACATCAAAATATTTATTTGCACGACTACCAATAAGAGGAAAAGGAAGAATTTTACTTTTTCTCAATTTACAAGTTGAACAATCAAAAGAAAGACTTCAGAATTGATCATTACTGCCTAATAAATCAGATTTCAACAAATAAGACAATATAATAGAATTGGGGTGGCCAAATGTTTATGCCACTGCTCAATTTTATTAACAATTGCAGAACAAACTAAAGAAATATTACTAGGAATTGAAATATGTAGAGGAAACAAACATCCTACTCTAGGCCCCTTCGTGATCATCGTCCCCGATACCTGATCTTGATCACAACAAGCATCATGAGAAAAACATACATTATAGTTATTTTCTACTAACTCGACAAGGAAAAGAAGATTATTAGAAAATCTAAGTGGTAGAAAGGCATGATTGAAAATTAGAGTAATATCACCAACAACAGTAATGGCCAAATTGTTTCCATTAGCAACTTGAATATGTTCTGAACCATGATATGGACAAATATTTTTTCAACAAATTAGTTGAACTAGTCATGTGATTTGATGCAATAGAATCAAGAGGATAAAATTTAGACAAAGAAGTATTGTTACCTTGAATACTAAGAGCTGAGAAAGCTGAAACTATCATTTTTTGCAGCATTTGAGGAGTAACGGCAATTTGTTGAGCATTTTGATTGACTACCATCATAGTTGTGGGCTCGGTTTGAATCTGACTAGGAGAAGAGTTGCCAACAGTTTCTTGAAAAGCGACAGTTTGGCGTTTGAGGACGAATTGAACAATCTTTGATGATGTGCCTGGCTTTTTGTAATAATTGCAAACTTTCTTAGCATAATTTGTAGCAATATGCCTATAATTCTTGTAATTAAAACACTGAATCTTACGCAAGTCTCTACCCTGGCCTTTTCCTTGAGCCAAAATGCCATATGTGTTGTAGTCATTTTCTCCTATTCAAGAGTGGTTTGTGTAATAAGACGTTGTTCTTCACGATTAATTCACTGAAGCAAACATCCAAGGAAGGAGGAGGATGGCAATTCATCAAATTAGAACGAGCATTTTCAAAGTCTGGTCTCAGCTTCATCAAAAACTGATCTCGCTTGCTAATCTTATGAACAGCTAATACATCAGCAAGAGAATCATTAGACACTGATCCACAAACTATGTCAGAAAATTCAGCCTATAAATTTTGAAAATTAGAAAAATAATATTGAATAGATAGACTTCCCTGTTTATAGTTTGTAATCTCATACTCCAATTGAAATCTCCTAGCTGAATTTGTTTGATGGTAAAGCTTTTTCAAATACTCCCACATTTTTTGAGCAATTTTATAGGAACGTAAATTAAGAACAATTTAGGACTCGCATGACCCAATGATCTAAGACATCACTCGAGCATCTTTAATCGTCCATTGAGTTAATTTAGCAGCATCCGTTGGGACTAGATCAGTGCGATCAATACGTCCCCTTAACTCTTTCTCGGTAACATATAATCGAAATTGAAATTTCCATGTTGAATAATTCTTTCACATAGATTTGACTCAAAATTCAGATTTATCACCACCCATTTTAGATAAAAGCAACTGAATATAACTGAAAATATTACCAAAATATGTGAGTTTCTCCTAAACTGGATCTGCAAACTCAACCAAATATCAGTGAAAGAAAAAAACATGCCGATACATAGAACAACCAAGAACACACACAACTTGCAACCTGCAGAGACCTGAAACTCTAATAACACCAAGAACAACCCAGAATTCCAAAACTCAAGATTAGAGCTCTGATACTATGATAATTTTTGAAGAATTTAGTAGATGTTTAATTGAATGGCCCCTTGCTCTTCTGTTTTCATTAAATAAATAGATGAATATACAATCATCAAAAGCTGATTTACAGGGATTTATATTGATTTGCAATGATATAATATGCTGATTTGATTCTCTCTAATAAAAGCTATATAATCTAATAATGGTAAGAGCATATGAATAAAAAATAAATACGTTGTACAAAATATTCTTTTCCATCTATGGCAATAATATTCATTGAGTAAGAAAAAATCAAATGCTTTCAGATCAAATTTCAAAAAACATACTCACCAAATGAAGCTCACATGCAACAAATCGCCTTCTCGGATTCCACTCAGTGCAAGAGTTGCGTTCAAGGCACTTCCATCTGCATGTGCAGAAATGAGGTTCCATATCCATTTCTTCCTTTGCCTTTCTCTCTACTCTCTCTGAATTTGGAATTTGCTTTCAGTATCGATTCAGGGCAAGGAATGAGATGAAATTAAAGAATATGAAAGGGAGGATAAAATAGTCCTTTCATTCTCTTCACCATGTCATTTTCAGTTGTAAATAAGAATGTGATGACGTGTTTTAAATAGGCCCATTTTATGCTGATTCATGTTTCTCGCCTCCAGATCAGAAATAGAGACTATATTACATTTTTTAAATAGCCCAGACACTTAATTGTTAAGATTTTCCATTTAGACACTAAATTATAAACATTTAAAAGGTCTAAATACTAATACTAAACTTGTAATTTATCTATAATGATTTAAGATGTTGAACATGGATCTCTTGATTCTGATTTTCCTCAATGGGTGCTCCTTACTGGTCCTCCCAATTATTAGTCGAGGTTCGCTCAAAAGAATAAAAGAAGTAAGAGAAGAATAGAGGCAATTACATATTTAAAATTATAATCAATAATTTAAAAATATAAAAAAGAAAATTATTTTTCATTTATTAAATTTAAATTGAATTATGATATATCTATATTCGCATATATTTTATTTTAAAATTTATATCTAGTCACACCATTGAATGGATCGGATCATATATCCACCGGACAATGCAAATTGTACCGATGAAACTTGATTTCTATCGGTTCTTGATATTAAACACCTATAATCAACTGCGAACTGCATAGATCAGTTCAACCAAAAGCCCCGGAGTTCTAATGAGTTGGGAGTGTTAACACAGTCAAATCTCTTTACAGTCTAGAGCCAGCTGATCAATTTCCCCACTTGGTGCATTGCACAACTTCAAATATAAAATCCAAATCCTTTCAAAATCTTCGCTTTCCATTTCCACTTTCGCTTTTCATACCCTCTCCAAATCTCAAGTCACCGTCCTAAGCATTACAAAAAAAGTATAATGCCACAACTAACAGAAACCTACGCTTGCGTTCCAACAACAGAACGCGGCCGTGGAATTCTAATTTCCGGGAATCCAAAATCCAATTCCATTCTCTACACTAATAACCGATCAGTCCTAATCCTCAACCTTGACAATCCTCTCGACGTATCCGTCTACGGCGAACATGGTTATCAAGCTACTGTGGCTCGCTACTCGCCTAACGGCGAGTGGATCGCCTCTGCTGATGTCTCCGGAACTATCAGGATTTGGGGGGCTTACAATGATCATGTCTTGAAGAAGGAATTCAAGGTTTTATCTGGCCGGATCGACGATCTGCAGTGGTCGCCGGATGGATTGAGGATCGTAGCGTGTGGTGATGGAAAGGGCAAATCACTAGTGCGAGCTTTCATGTTAGTACTTGAAATTTGAGTTTCTTTACTTACTGTTTCTAACTATAGTAAAGTATGATTTTTAGTTGTAATATTGTTATTTTTGCTTGTTGAATAGGTGGGATTCAGGAACTAATGTAGGGGAATTTGATGGGCATTCAAGGCGAGTCCTAAGCTGCGCGTTTAAGCCAACAAGACCATTTCGGATAGTGACATGTGGAGAAGATTTTTTGGTGAATTTCTATGAAGGGCCGCCATTTAAATTCAAATCATCTCACAGGTTTGTTATAACAAACAAAGAGGTTTTCTTGGAAATTTACTTTTGACATTTGCTTCTCTTGTTGGCTTTTGATAAAACACATATATGAAGCTTGGATTCAGAAATGGATCTTTTTCTGATTGAATTCTTTATCCAATATGATAGTATGTTCAAATTCAGTATAATTTTTTTCTGGCTCAGGCGCCCATTTCACAAATATGGAGATAATTATACTAAATATCAAATTTTCTATTTGAGTCTCAATTCTTCTGATAGAGTGCTTGGCCCATATGATATTATATTCAAATGGGGATAATTATATTTAAGATGTTTGAACTTTGTCAATTTTTCAATCATTTGGTTTTAGCGGTAATTTTTTTTTTTTTTGGAAAAATAAAATGGATCATTTTTCTCAGTAAATGATATCTCACCTAAACATCTATTTCATCCACCTGTCTTTCTAGTATCTTTTATCTCTTCCTTTAGAAAAATATCTAGATTACCTTTTAATTTTCTCCATTTTCCTTGAAAATTTGAACCAAAATATGAGAGAAAACATAATAAAGAGGGAGAGAATAGTTATATGAATGAATAAAGCAGAGAGATGAGGTGAAATAGATTTGTTTTAATATTTTGGCAAGAAATTCAGGCCAAATGCACCTGACTAAAAAAAAATTTATTATTGAAATAGAAAAATTGACAAAGTTGAAATACCAACTTTATGATTACTCCCATGCACACCTACTGTTGTATGTGTGTTTTTAGCAGGGTCTATACAAATCTTCCATCACTCAATATTGATCTGCAAGAACTTTTATTGATACGTTCTAGAATCTAATGTTGAGGGCTGCTTTGTAATGGTAAAGTTATATCACTTGTCACCTGGAGGCCACAGTTTGAGCCATGGTAAAAACTTCTCTACAAAGCAGGGAAAGCCTGCATGTATCAACCCTCTGTAGCCCATAAATATGAGATGTTTCATGCACTGGGTCACCCTTTTCTATCCTAGAACCTAGTTTTGAAGGACCAAATTTATAATTATTCCCTCCAATGCACACTAATTAGTGTTACATGTGTGTGTTTTATCACGGTATATTCAAATCTTCCTTTACTCAATATTGATCTGCAAGAACTTTTAATGATACATTCTAGAACCTAGATTGATTGGATGCAAAATCCAAGCTGAAGTGACCTGCATTCTACTATTTATTTGTTTGCTCTCTCAATGAATATTTCTGGCTTGTGCAGTCTAAACTATTGGCAATGCAGTTGCAATTAGGTGTGGGAGGAAAAGGAAAAAGAAAGAAAAACATAATCCAATTACTAGTCCTTGAATTAACTCCTATAACATTGTTCAATGAGATAGATGTCTAACCAACCTAAAAGTCTAATGCAATAGAATGAAAAACTGAAGTATGGAAATTGGCTATTTCAGCTGTGAATGATTTAGATTTTAAAGCATTCAAGTTAGATGGATCCAGACTGATTTATTTTTTCCTCTGCCTAGCTGATTAAGCATCTACTTCCTGAACCATAACTGTTACCATAAATATTTTATTTTTTAATCTTTTTTTTCATTATTTTTTTTTTTTTTTTTTAAGCCATTCAAGTTCAGATGGATCCAGGACTGATTTATTGTTTTCCTCTGCCTAGTTGATTAAGCAATCTACTTTCCTGAAAACACCATAACTGTTAGCCATAATATTTTATTTTTTTTAATCTTTTTTTTTCATTATTTTTTTTTTTTTTTTTGGAGTGTGGGAAATGAATACAACAAATGTTAACTATCCTATTTCAAATTATTTTAATTACATTTTTATAAACATATGAAACTGGAGAGAGTGGATATTGAAAAGGAAACTGGCAGGTTTTACTTTCATGTCTAAATAACCAATAAAGTTTTGGTTCACTTGTCCCATGGCAGGGATCATTTCAAATTTTGGTCAATCTGTAGTAAGGTTTTCTTTTTTTTTATTTTTTTTTTTTTTTTTTTGGATGTGGGAAATGAATACAACAAATGTTAACTTCTATTCAAATATTTTAATTACATTTTTATAACATATGAAACTGGAGAGAGTGGATATTGAAAAGGAACTGGCAGTCTTTCATGTCTAACCATAAAGTTTTTGGTTCACTTGTCTGCAGGGATCATTCAAATTTTGTCAATTGTGTAAGGTTTTCTCCTGATGGCAGCAAATTCATCAGTGTAAGCTCTGATAAGAAGGGCGTATTATTTGATGGGAAGACTGGAGAAAAGATTGGAGAGTTATCCTCTGAAGGTGGTCACAAGGGGACCATTTATGCAGTTAGCTGGAGTCCAGATGGTAAACAGGTAACTCACTGTTGGATATAAGAAAAGCTGTTGCAGTTGTTATATTACATACTAAAAATGCATTCGTCAATGTGCATGGACTTATTTTGTTACATAAACTGCCTGCCTTTTTCTCCCCACTCTTTGTTTCACAAATGGAGCCTGTGCCCTGTGGCTAGTTACCAGCATTTGAGATGTTTTCAAAGTACTATTATTGTATCGGTCTGAAGTTAATCTGTACTCTTTTTTTTTATTATTATTTATTTAAAACAAAAAAGAGGTATCCAAAACCTGTCTGTGTATTAAAGAAAGTAATCTTCTTCTCTCTTCTCTCTTCTCTCTTCTCATTTTGCTTAACATTCTCTTCCTCCTCCCTCTCTCTCATACGTTTTTCTATCAATTAGCCTTACCTCTGCTCGTATCATTTTACCTTGCCATCTTCATTCTACTTTGAGTAGGCATACTGTGCCCAATAATTATTGACTGGGGATAAGTTATTTTGTAGATTCTTACAGTTTCTGCTGACAAGTCAGCTAAAGTGTGGGAGATCTCTGATGAAGGTAATGGGAAACTGAAGAAAACATTGACATGTTCTGGCTCAGGTGGAGTGGATGACATGCTAGTTGGTTGCCTTTGGCAGAATGATCATCTTGTCACGGTTTCTCTTGGTGGCATGATCAGTATCTTCTCTGCAAGTGATCTGGATAAAACTCCACGACAAATATCTGGACATATGAAGAATGTTACATCATTAGCTGTTCTTAAAAATGTCCCAAAAACCATATTATCCAGTAGTTATGATGGTTTGATAGTTAAATGGATTCAAGGGACTGGATACAGCTCTAAATTACAGCGGAAAGAGAATGCTCAAATCAAATGTTTAGCTGCTGTTGAAGAAGAAATTGTCACATCTGGATTTGATAATAAGGTGGCTAACGTGCTTTTTTTGAAATAACTGTATTTACTATTGATTGCCATTTTTTATCAATTATTGAGTTAAGAAGATGAATGATAAAATGTTTGTTACAGCAATTTGTGAAAATCCTTGAGTTCTTCAAGTTATATACAGTATACACATGGCAAAAGAAGTTGTCTGTGTCATGAAATTTTAAGGACTACACTAGTAAACAAAGTTTTATTAGAAAGTTTTATGGAGGATGTTTTTAGATAATCTTTAAATTGTATTTGTGAGATTTTGATTCCCTACCGTTTATTGTTGAAATTATAACATGTCTTTAGTACTTCAAACCCAAATTCAATTTCTTGACTTTTAAAATTAAGGTTCACAGGAAGATCTACAAAATATGATGACTGAATTACTTCCTCCTGCATGGTTTCTAGGTTTTATTCATGCAGAAAAAAAGTTTGCAGTTCTATTGCATCCGGGACCTTCTCTTTTTCTCACCTCCTTTTATTAGTCTTACGTTCCAATCTTTGGTTGTAATGCTTTCCTTTCTTCATTCTATTTTTTACATAGATTTGGAGAGTTCGTTTTCATGGAGATCAGTGTGGAGATGCTGATTCCATTGACATTGGTGGTCAACCAAAAGACTTAAGTGTTGCCTTACTCTGTCACGAGCTGGCATTGATCACAATTGATTCAGGTGTTGTCATACTCCGTGGTACAAAAGTTGTGTCAACCATCAATCTTGGTTTTGCTGTAACAGCCTCCGCAATTGCACCTGATGGAAGCGAAGCAATTATAGGTGGGCAAGATGGTAAATTGCATATATATTCTGTTACTGGTGATACCCTTAAGGAAGAGGCGGTCCTTGAGAAGCACCGAGGTGCTGTCAGTGTCATACGTTATTCCCCAGATGTTTCAATGTTTGCATCTGGTGACGCGAATAGAGAAGCTATTGTTTGGGACCGTGTCTCTCGAGAGGTACCTTCTTACCCTATCTCAATTTAATTTGATGATTAATGATTTTGTCACATTATAACAATTTGTTTCTGATATGCGAAGTTTGGCTGAAGTGGCAAATAATTGAACTTATATCAGTTGTATATGTGTGTACTTAATGACATATTTATATTTAGAATTATACATGACTCAGTGCAGGGGCTTTGAATTTTATTGAACTGCATGATTTTAAGAAAACACTGAATAAAGAGGACAACTAAAATACATGCATTAGATTAATTTATGCTGTTTGGTTTATCCAAAATTTGGCGGGGTTATGACTGCAGTATGGTGTTATGGGAATACTGGATAAAATAGTCTCTACAGTATTTCTGGGTTCTTTGAAATTCATGTCGTTAATAGCATAGCATTTTCCCTAGGTACTATTATCAATTATTAGAATAGTCAGAGTGGGTATGCTCAATTCTATAAACTGATTAGTCAGAGCAGGTTAAGCCGGGAATTGCTTGGTTACTGATCCATTTACCCCCTCAAATCCTTGCGAGTGGTCAAATGGTGAATCAAAAATGACTTGCTCTCACTCAGTCCAGCATTAAGAGAATTTAGTTGTTCTTGAAAGAGTTGAAACCATGGTTTCAGAACAGCTTCATGTTGCTTCCTTGCTATCAAGCTACATAACTAAAGAATTTTGATGTAAAGAGTAATTGTCGAAGTCTTGAAGTTTGTAACTCTGCTTCAATTCCTATAACCTTTAATGTAATATATTCAATTTTTCCAGGTTTAGAGACCAAGTTAGCTCCAATACGAAAAAGAAGAAATCAATTTAGCTCATAAAGCATGGGTTACAAGTTAGTATGCTTAATTCTGAATCTGGAAGCTAAATAATTTGGATGCATAGGTTAGATTAATATTTTGTTCCAGTATATGTTTGGTATTGTTCTTGAATTTGCTTGAAAATTTGAAAAAGCAAAGATCCTTTTTGACAAGTGAAATGAACTTCGTTTAATCAATTTAAACAGTGCAGAGTGGCAAAATTTCCTATTTATGTTTGTTGACATTTTGTTTAATGTGAATGTAGGGCCAATAGTTTTATCTATTAGACTAGTGCATCCATAAAGCAAGCAGTCAGGGAATTGCTCTTACACTTAAACATCTAAGCTTTATACTGCCTAATTCTAGTGTTGTCGTGTATCACATCCTCATTCTGTAAGTGGACAGATGAGTTTATTGTGTAAGGGTTTTATGCTGTTCCAGTAGATTAAATGAAACTAAGTCTTGGTCCTTGATCTGAAGTTCACATATGATTCTATGAATATATAACATCTCAGAACTCCCTCAGTCTGGTTTCCAATTGATCGTTTTCTTGCATTTTGTCATTGAAGGTAAAAATTTAATTTCTGACAAATGGTAACAACAGTAAATTTCCACTTTGTTTCTTTTACATTTTAACTAGTTATTTTATAACCTGCGTTGCATGTTGTCATGATTTGTTATTTGCTTGTTTTTTTTATACTAATTAATTTATCTTTATATAATATTAAGTATCGTTATGATTTTCCTTTTATGTTGTCTAGATTTTTATAATGTAAATTTAAAAACTTGAAAGTCATATGTATCAATTTATATATTAATTATTCAAATATTATATATACTAAATTAAAATTTTTTGATTGGCCATAATTAAGGATGTTTTATGATATCTCAAATTTCATTAAGGATATTTTAACAAACGCCATTACCTACTTTTATATATGGTATAGATTATTTTATCTTGTTATCCAGAACAGTACAAGAAGTCAAAAGTTTGGGGAAAAAAAGACAAAGGATGATAAAGGAAAAAATTAAGGTTGTGGAGGGCAATATGGCCTACTTATAAATTTTGGACGGATAACTATATATAAATGATTTTCAAATTTGGGAGTGTTTTATTTATAATTTGGAAAGTAATTTATGAAATGAGTTCATACTTAATAAAATTCAAAAAAATTTGAGGGCCAAGTACACACATTCGAAGGCAATATCTGAAAAAATATTTTGAAAGTTTGGGTGCCATTTCATGTCTTAAAAATTTGTATTTTATAATATGTATACAAAACAAAATGTGTTTGAAAGCTTGCTTCATCTTTTCTTCCTTATTGCTTATGTTTGATCTGCTTTCTTACAGGTGAAGCTTAAGAACATGTTGTACCATACTGCCCGCATAAACTGCCTTGCTTGGTCTCCTGATAGCAGCATGGTTGCTACTGGATCACTTGATACTTGTGTCATTATATATGAAGTTGACAAGCCAGCATCTAGCCGGATTACCATAAAGGGGGCTCACTTGGGCGGCGTTTATGGATTAGCTTTCACTGATGAGTCGAGTGTGGTAAGCTCAGGTGAGGATGCCTGTGTCCGTGTTTGGAGATTAAGCCCACAATGATATGAAGGTTACCTTGAAGTTTGGTGAGAAAGCCGGATAATTTAGGACTTGTGTTGTTGTATAAGTTTGGTTGCAATGCAATTGGAGAGAGTTCAAAGAATTGGTACACTCATGGAGATGCTTTGCCCCTTTTTTTTGTAGCCTTTTATATTGGAAGTAGCCAACTAGAAACAGCAGTTGTTATTTATTCCCTTCCGCTGCTTATAGAGTTGGCAGTGTTCACATGGCTGGTGACTGAGTTAAGCGAATTTCTGCAGTATTGTCCGGGTATTTTCCGCCTTTGCCTTGGTTCAATGGGAGGTTGCAGAAGTTTTATTTTGATCTCAAGACTCAAAAGCAGTTCCAAATAGAATATAGCGAAGAATCAGTTGAGGCGCAAAGTGATCCAAGTGCCGATTGTAAAAGGATTGTTAATGCTAGCATGTTGCTCCATTTTTTTGTGGAGATGATGCTAGTTAGTGTGTGTTGTTACATTTATGTAATATTTCTCATCTGCAGATCTGTTATTTTGTGTGCCTGGTTTGGTGTAAATTTAAGTAATTTGAGTGTTATATTTTTCATTTCATTTCATTTTGAGTAATAATTTTTACGATTTGAAGAAGGATGTTGGCCGCTAATCTGAGAGCTCTTAGAAATCACCCTTGCCATTTCGGCTTGCCGCTAGGGATCATTTGCAATTTTTGCCAAATTGACTATTCTTTGTTCGTTCTAAGAAAAACGGTTACTCTTTAACACCTAACAAAGTAAATAAATGAATATGTTTTTAATATTTTTGTTTCGAAAAATTCATGGAAGTTTAAACGTTGCCACTCTTACAAGTTGTAGGCATGGGCGGTTCACGCAGTTTGAGATATTTAAAATTGAGATTTTTAAAACATTGAATTTGGATCAGTCTTTGATCTGTTGGTTCCAGCCGGTTTCGGCACACTAACAGTTTCGATCATGGTTTTTTTTGTAATATGTAAACTTTTTTTTTAAAAAAAAAAAAAATTGATTGGCGTTTTTCTTTCGAGAAATTTATTGTGAATTTTAAAAAATATTAATAAATTTTATTTTAACTAATTTATAAAATGCTTATATCCATATAAGAAATGATTATAACTTTGAAAATAAAAATAGAAAACTTTCTAATTTATACTAGATTCGAATTCAAAATGCCGGATTCTCGGTCGATTCAAATTTAAAATTTACATTCACATCAACTTTAATAAGCTCTTGCATCGACCGTTCTAGTTCAAAATTTTGAATCAATAGTTTCAGTCCAATTACTATTCATCTAAGTACAATTTGATTTTATTTCCATTCGGATTCAAACAGAGCAAACCACGATGCCCAACATATTGGCTCATGGAGTTGGATCCCATTCAATTCCCAGCTCTACATGTGATGGTGGTAAGTTCAAATATTACCTTACCTGAAATCAATTTGTCAACCATTAAGTTTAAAGTTATATTGAGGGGTAAAATTACCATACAGATTTTTAAAAATTCTGTATTAACGTAGAAAGAGTTTTTATTATTATATTTAAAATAGTTAAATATAAACCATTAAATTCAAAATAGCTTTAATAACTTATTATATAGGTTATCACAAACAAAATATTTATTTTCATTATTAAATATAAATATTACTATTTAATTATGTAAATAAAAAATTACTCTTGTCAGCACAATTATAAAAAATAAAAGTTTTAAAGATAAAATAATTATCTAATATATCAAAATTTTATTTGCCCAAAATAAATTTTTAAAATTTTAATAAATTAAAGTTATATTGAAGGGGGTAAAAATTACATACAAGGATTTTTAAAAATTCTGTATTAACGTAGAAAGAGTTTTTATTATTATACTTTAAAATAGTTAATTATAAACATTAAATTCAAAATAGCTTTAATAACCTTAATTATATACAGGTTATCACAAAAACAAATATATTATTTTTCAATTATTAAAATTTACTAAATATTAGCTATTTAATTTATGTAATAAAAAATTAACTGCTTGTCAGCACCAATTAAATAAAAAATAAAAGTTTTAAAGATAAAATAATTATCTAATAATATCAAAATTTTATTTGCCCAAAATATTTTTAAAAATTTTAATAAATAATTATAAATTTTTATTTAATCGTTATTATTAAAACATTAATAACTAGTATTTGAATGCAATTGAAAATTACATATATATAATACATGAAATGACCCATTATCTTTCTTAATAGAATGTTTTTAATTAATAAAAATTTAATTTATATAATCATTTAAATATTTGGCTCATTAAAATCTCTCTCACCTTTTTGGAAATCTAATTTATATAAATTCAGCCATAATAAATAAGATATCTTTGTGACTATCTAATTTAATTATGAGTTTTTACCTTAAATTTATTTACCTTAAATTTATTTATATTTTTTAAAAAATAAAACATTATATATTATATCAGAATTAATACAAAATTTTAAATTTTTGAAAATTTTAATAAGGTATTAAAATCATTTGTAATTTTTTATAAAAATAATTATCTAAAATTATTGTTTGTTATGCTTAAAATTATGTTCTAGAATTCTATATTTACATTTAGACCAATTTTTTAATAATTTTTTTACGTAAAATAATGCAATTAATATCTCATAAAATTATTGATATGTAAAGATTTATTTTTATCCTCAAAATAAAGTTCTTCACATTTGATAGGAAAAAGAACAAGCGAAATTTATGAGAGAAAAAAAAATAAAAAAATTTGATAAAAAAAAACATATAACTGAATTTAACTAAGTCTTACTTTCCTGCAATAGTGTCAAAATTTTGAATTATGTATTATAGAAAAAAACCTATGTTGTTTTGATGGATCTTTTTCTTATTAATGAATATTACAATCATATTTAGCGTTACTTAAGATAATGTAATAACGGTTACATCCATAAACCTATATGATAAGGATTCTATCACCATCTCTTAAATATTGGCCAAATTCATAAATTGTCCCCTGAAATTTTAATAAATTAACTTTATGGCATATTTAACTTTGCAGAAGACCAATTATATATTTAAAATAAAAAATTTTGCACCAAGTAAATATTTTTCTACATATTCCCATACTGGTATTTCAAAGAAGTTGAGTAGGATAAGTAAATGAAAATAGGACCTAATTTCATTTACACCTCATCAATTTTAAAAATAAAAAATAATCCACCAAACTCTACAATTCACTATCACCTCCACCACCACCTCAAATCATTCCATCACCACCACCACAGCCACCACCACCACCTTAACCACTGTTGCATCACAACCACAACCACCTCAATATTAATATAAAAGAAATATTTAAATCAAAAACTATTAATTAATTATATCAAGCTATTAAAGATCATTTAGATTTATAAATTTATTTAGACTAAAAAATTAAAAGAAAAAAAGTTAAAAAAAATGTAATGTAACAAAAGAACAGTAAAGGGATCGAGAATTAATTTTCTTTGCATGTGATTTCATATATTAACTGTTGTTTCAGTATCAAGAAAAATTTCCTCACTATCAATCAAATCATCAAATTTACTCTTCAAAATTAAGGAAATTGGAACAAATTAGTGAGTTTGGTAGAGAAGAAGTAAGAAACATGAACCACCACTTACACATCTATTTGGGTTATAATTGTAATCAACACAATAGATAAGAAAATAGGGAAGAACTCTCTTTCTATCTGCTAATTTGAAGACAATTTTATTAGCATTGCTAATTGGAAATTGTTTTTTACTTTATTTTTTTTATTATCTCCTAAACATCAACACCTTGATGCATTAAGCCATTACAATTTTAGAGAGTTGAAATTAATTTTAAGAGTGATAATCAGTATCATTTGACCTCTCTTGTGTATATATTTTTCATTAATCTATATATAAGAAAAATTAATGACCTATTTATTTTTATTTTTAACATGAACAATTTATTATCGCGTTAAAACAACCCCCGCCAATAGGAGGGCAATCATCTGGATAGTACATTAAGAAAAATGAAAATTGAATTATTTCTTCAGAACCACATCAAAGACAGTTAGCTCAGAACCCTAAAAGCATCTAGACAGTTCAAAGGAAGTAAGCCAAAAAGAACTGCAGCTAAAATTTCATATGAAACAAAATCTACTTGTACATTGGTTCATAATCAAAATAGAAATTCTTAAATTACTCTGCAAAATGGTCGCCTGATGAACTAAGCAGAAGTAGAGGTAGCTGCTTGTTCTTGTATGTAAAATGGAAGAGGTTTGGTAGGGGCAGGCAAGCGGCCAATGCTGTCAACTTTATCTTTCAGCTTTGGTGGAGGTCTGGCTGGTTTCGGCAACAATCTGCCCTTCTTTTCAAACCATTCAGGCTTTAGCAATGCCCGGAAACCCAACTTGTTGTAATGCACTCGCCTGACAGAACCACCAGCAGCTTCAACAGCTTCCTTGGCTCTGACAGTCACTCTCGATACCTGCAAAACTTCATTCATAAAAAAATTTCTTTTGGATGCAGAAAGTAAATAAGTTGTACATCATAAATTGAGCGAGCAGCTTTGGGATGAGAAGTTCATATCTTGCTCGTAATAAGGCAGCAAGGAAGGAGGCCCTTAAGAGAGGAGTTAGTTCAAGTGCATGAAATTAAAAATGCTATCAATTTCAAATTATCATTTTTCTTGACAAATAGCATCGAACAAACACTATAATATACCTAAAAGTTCAAATAATTTATCAGTGAATTCAGATGTGCTTATATCTGTAACGCAAAACATGTAATTTTTGAATTGATAAATTTGACATAACTACCCAGTGTCCTGTTTTGTACTGAAAATTATGAATAATCGAGTCTATGATTTATAACTTCCACTTTCCCCGTGCTTTAAAATACACAACAATGGAAGTCAGAAATTTAATTAGTGAAGCATCTTCTAACAGTTCACTTGCTATCTGCTTGTCTGAGATATCTTCAACAGTTGCAAAGAAGCATAAACAAAAACACAAGAGGACAACTTTATCACTTCACCAGAAATGTTACAAAACCAAAACAGCACAGGAAAAGTTGAAGATCAGAAATATCAAAATCTTGAAAAGTGTATCCTTAATTCAGTACCAAGCATCAATCTAGTGAACCATTTACTGTCATTTAGGTACCACCATCATTTGGCAACAACAAGAATAACAATAATGATAGAAAATGTAACAATTGAAATTTCAAAAAATGAGATATTTTTAAATGGTGCCTTACATTATAGCAAGTACAAGTAGAATCTAAAATTTCTAACAAAGTAGACAACAAAAGCAGGAACCTTTCATAACATATTTACCTCCAGATGAATAGGCCATTTGATCTCATGAGCACCACGCCCCATCAGTCTTACTCCATCTTCTATTTGCTTTCCTATGGCCCCAGCATCCTATCATGACATCTGTAATGATCAATATAGACCATAGTCCATGTAAATAGGTTAAATTGGAAATTAGAGAAGGATGCTACTGCACCTTGAGGGTTTTCATTGTGATCAATTCATGTGAATCTATCTTCCCTTCATTGATCAGTTTTGCAATCTTTCCCAATCCAACCGGCTGCCAAATACAAGAAAATGATCAAAAAGCAAACAGAAGGGAGTAGAATAAGTAAAAATGATCCCATATGAAGGTCAAAACAGATAGCATTTTTCAAATAAGGCAATCTAAGTGAAGTCCTTTTTTTTATTTGGGAAAGAGTTCTAACATTTCAGTCCTGTTTCTTAAGGTTTGATTAAATTCCTATTTTTTTAATAGATAAAATCAAGTGTCTATCCATATGTCTTGACCAAATGTCTCTATCCAAGACTGACATAGAAGAAGCTCATATAAAGTATCTCCATCCTTCTAGCTTACTTCTATGCTAGATAACAAAAATATACAATCTCTTCTCTCCCTCTCCCCCTCCAAATGTTTAGAAAATCACATGTTTTCTTGTGCTTTACTGGCCAACAAAAGTTCCTTTTAATAGTTGACGAAAATGTTCTAAGAAAGCACTACAAAAGAATAGGAAGTCCTAATGAAAGAAATTATTATCCAATATGGAAAGTTAGTACTTTAACCATAGACGGAAATTTGTTTTGGTTGTTTATCAGGTAGATGAGTGTTGAAAACCAAGCACTAATGTCTGCGGACATGGTTGTAAAAACATGCCTGGGAATTATAAACATTGTCACCACAAAGTGAATAGAGGAGATGGCAGAAAAAAACAGAAACGTCTGTTGCGTTCCTGATCAAACATCATCATATTAGACTAACCATTGGTAAGTGTAAACTCCTCTTGATCTGCATTTTGGAAGTTCTAAATATAGCAGGTTAATGGAACTTATTTGTATATGTTTTTCTCTTTTTATCTTATTGCCTACATTCTTTTATCAACTTAAAAAAAAAATTAAAAAAAAAAAAAACAAAAGCAGAAGTAAATGCTCGTTAAATTATAGTAATACAATATGCAAAAACACAGAGTCCCCCATTCTCCAAAACAGACCCATTATTTCATACATAATGCTATGGAACATATTGAGTTATTGACAAACCGCTTAAACTATCTACTGAAACAGAAAGTTCTAAACCCCACTAAGTAAATTCACATTCTCTAGTTTTTATTTTCTTCCCACATGTTCATTGCAATCCTTATAAGTGACTCTCAAGTCAGTACTTAAGTACGTCTTCGTGTTGAAATTAAAGACAAAGGCTCAGTGTAAAAATAGCAAAATACCAGACAAAAACAGAATAGGGGATGAAAAATGGGAGACAAAGATTGTTAAGCATCAATTTCCAACTCTAACACCCAACTTGTTTGAACATGAGTTAAGCACGTCGTCTTGGGGCTATCACAAATTACAAAGGGAACTATATATATATACACACACACACACACATATATATATTGGTCAGGTTTTTCAAGTTAAATAAATCTAAATGCAGCATCTTTTCAATTAAATTGATCTCAAGAGAAGTGTTTCGGGAAATACCTGAAAATTAAGGCTAAAGGCGTTCTTAAACCCTCGTTTTGGCAAGCGGCGGCGCATTGGCGTTTGCCCACCTTCGAACCCAAACTTCATAGTCCCACGAGCCTTCTGGCCTTTGTGACCTCTGCCAGCAGTCTTTCCCTTTCCAGACCCAATCCCACGCCCTTTCCTTGTCTTCAACTTCCTAGGCACCTTATCCCTCAAATCATTTAGACTCAAAAGACTATAACCCCTGACACCTGCAAGCCAAAAAGTCGCCCCATCAAAGCTGCAATTGATGGGTTTTGGGCAGTGTAGAGACTGAAATTGTGGAATTGGAGTGGACGAGATGGATTTTGTGGTGGTTTTGGGGTTGAGAATCGAGGTCGAAGAAAGCAGCGAAGAGAGTAACCTTCTCCTGATCATTTTTTTTTTTTTTAACGATTTGGGGTTTGCCAAAGTTTTCCCTTTTTTGGTAATGGTTTCTCTAAGGGTTTAGTTAACACACATATTTATAAGGTTGCAACAAGTGTAACAATTGGTTTAGTACTGGAACGGACCAAAATCAAAATGAAAATAGTGAGTTTGTGGTTGGGTTTCGATTCTTTCTTTCTTTCTTTAGAGCTCAAGTTGACTCAGTTCCAATTTTTTTATTTAGAACTGAAATCGACTGTAACTGATAGGTTAAGAGTTTTGAATTTTAAATTTTTTTATTTGATGGCTAGAAATTGGATTCCACGGAGTTTAAACCGACGGTACAAAGTGATTTTAAAAATTATATATATATATATATATATTCTTTTCCTAGAGCTCAAAGTTGACAAATAACAGTTCCAATTTTTTTTATTTAGAACTGAAATCACTGTAACTGATAGGTTAAGAGTTTTTGAAATTTTTAAATTTTTTTATTTGATGGCTAGAAATTGTATGTCCACGGAGTTTTTAAACCGACGGTACAAAGTTATTTTTTTAAAAAATTATATATATATATATATATATTAGCTTACAAACCCAAAATTAACCTCCATTATATATATATATATATATAGCTACAAACCCAAATTAACCCTCCTTACAATTATAAAAGACTACAAAATAACTAATTTCATGAATATTGTTTATAACTTTCTTTTATTATCTATCACTTTTCTATTGAATAAACATGTCTAAATCTTTTTATGGCTTTAGATCATAATACTCGATTTTGACTAAGTAATCTTTTTTGGGAAGCAGCCATTGTCATACTTCAAGTAGGAAAGAAGTTCATTTTGAAAAACATTCTCCTTCTATTTATTAGTTTATTGTTTATTACTTAATTACAGAATGTGTAGTTGAAATTAGTTGTTCCTCCTTTTGTTCATCTCCCTAGTGTTAATTTTCTCTTTTATTTATATCGATCTATTATAAATGCAATCATTCAATCAAAAAAAACTTTCTTTTTTTGTGTTGCAAAGGAAATGTTTGGTTTCCAATTGTCATTTTGAATCCAAAAGCACAAATTTTTTATGCTATTTTTTACATTATGTGTTCACTGCTTCTTATTAATTAATTTTCTTTCTAATTCTCAATCTTTTTCCTTTTTGGTTCCTGATAGGGGTTATTTTTATAGTATTTTTAATATAGTTTTTATTAAAGTTTTTAATATTTTTTAATTATTTTAATTAATTTTTATTTAGTTTTATTTATGTTTTTGTATAAAGTTTCCTTGAATCATATTTCACTTGATCTTGAGGAATTTTTTACAGGATTTTTATAAGAAACCAGCTTATTTCCTATCTAGACGCTGGGAGAGTCATAATTGAGAAGGCTGGGAGAGTCATAATTGAGAAGAAATACAAAGCCTAAACAGTTTCATATCTCCAAAAGATTCCTTACTCAATAAAGATTCACTCTCCTAAACGAACGCGAAGATATTTCACAAAGTCTATATAAAGAGAAAGACTATCCATTCGAAGGGATTCCATTCATTGTATATTCCATCTCTTGTTCTATTATTTTCTACATATTTTTCTCTCTTCAAGATTTCAAGCATTCAAGTTGGTGTCAAGATTCAAGGAAGTTGTCCAAGCGTATCGTTGATTAGTTTTTATTTCTAAACTCTCTTTTTGTTTATTATTCTTTATGGGATTATTTACAAGTTTAATTGAGTTTTATTTAATTATTATATCGAACTAAAAAACTAAACTCTCATACTAAGGGATTTTGATGTAGCTTAATTTCGATTTCCAATTTATAATATCACTATTTGCTTTTCCTTTGTTTAAAAGTATAGATTTATTATTGAACTTAATGCTTCTAAGCAGAGTTTCTTCCCTAGATTGATTTATTTCATTAATTCACTACGGGAGAAAGGGTTTTGAATACCAAAAAAAAGGTAATAAATTACATGAGAATAATAACTTGATTGCGGAAGCTATATGTTTTGACTCATGGAGGTTTTCCAATAAGTTACGACCTTAGGTTATGAATCAATAAACAAAACCATAAAAATTAATTGATTTTAATTCATGAACGACCTTAGGTTATGAATTCATAAACAAACCATAAAACTTAATGATTTAATTCATGTTTGATTGCACTATTGGAAGATAGGTAATTAGAACGGATTAAAATAGCTACCAATACATCGGGAGAGCTTGTTAGTGATTTTAGGGTTGTTTCCCCTACTTGACCAATTATAATTGATTATCAAATTAATAGAATAAATTGGATATAATTAAATGAAATCAAAATCCCTAGAAATTTTTAATCATTGATTTCCTTTTCATCAAATTATCTTGCTTGATTTCTTTTTATTCTCTTTTATTTCTTTTAATTTAATATCTTAAAATAATTTTCCTTATTATCGTTTAAATAATAGTAGATTAACACAATTTTGGTACTTGGTATACAATCTTCGTGGGAATGATACTCTACTCACTCTTTATTACTTGTCGCAATTTCGTGCACTTGCGAAAAATCACTGTCAGTACCCACTGTAGAAAAGTTGTTTTCTTATTCCTAATAAAGAAAAAAAAAGAAGCAACTAATTAAACATAAAATGGAAACCGTTCTGGATCTCGTCATATGCAAAGTTACAAAACTAGTGGTTGATTGGCGTCAAATTAGGTATATATGGAACTACAATGATAACATTCAAAGTCTAGGAACTCAAGTAGAGAAGTTAATGAAAGTATATGAGAAATAAACATTGTATTATTTATTTTACCAGTGCAGCTTAGTCAATAGTATAGTTTGGCTCTAGTACAATTTATAGGTGCCAAGTCAACTTCTTTATATATAAGACGTGTATATGGAAAAGGAGACTCAGTTAGTTGCTTTTGTAATCATTCTTCTTTAATAAATAATTTCCTCTCATTATTCTCAAAGAGTTTTTTCCTCAAACATAGCTTTGTTCATGGTATCAGAGCATTGATCCAATCTTTGTCATTTGGTTGATTGCTCTTGTTGATTTCAAAGTTTTTTTACATGATCGAGTGAATACGATTGATTGATTCACTTTATTCTTCTTGGATTTTCTTAGATTGAGAAGATTGTTGATAATCATGTTTCCTTGCAAAACCCTAAATCTGGGTAATTTGTTCAGTTTACGGGAATTTTTCCAATAGTTGTTATGTAATTCCTCTCCTGAAAGTCTTAATCATGTTGGAAGTAGATGAAGTCAATCTTGGTGAAGGATTACACGGAAAGATACCTAATGCGAGAAACTTCAATCGTGTAGGAAATGCAACTAGGGATTCGATAGTTCTTCAAAACTAGATAATCCAGGTATGATACTTGTTCCATCTCTTCTTACTGGGGCCAATTATCGAACGTAGAGTAGAGCTTTGAAGATAGCGCTAGGTGCCAAACACAAGCTAGGGTTTGTTGATGGATGACTTAAGGTTCCTGATGAGAATTCCATTGAATTTGAGCAATGGTAGAGGTGTGATTTTATGGTCACATCATGGATCTTGAATTCCATATCTAAAGACCTAGTTAACGCGTTCGAGTACACTAGGAGTTCTAGGGACTTATGGACTGAATTAGCTAAGAGGTTTGGGGAAAGTAATGGGCCAATGATTTACCAACTTCAGCGTTCAATTGCTTCCATTTCACAGGCAAATGCACATATTTCAGTCTGTTATATAAAATTAAAGAAACTCTGGGATGAATTGTCTAGTATTGACCATATACAATCTTGTACTTGTGGAACTGCTTTGCATTTTGCAACATTGATTAATAGAGACAGATTAATGCAGTTTTTGATGGGTCTTGATGATAGTTATGAACAAGTTAGGAATCAATTGCTAATGATAAGGCCACTGCCTGGGGGTAAATAAAGCTTATTCTATGCTTTTAAGGGTGGAGTCACAAAGGAATGTTAGTTCCAACCTAGAACATTCAATTGAGAATGTGGCTCTAGTAGTTAAACCTCAGTTTAATCCTCATTATGATAGTAGGAGGTATAAAGGGAATTTTACAAGGTGACCTAGACATTATGACTACTGTAATAAAGATGGTCATACAAGGGATAAATGTTTCAAACTTCAATTTCTCATCCACACCAAGAGTAGCTGCTTTTGCTATATTTGGTGAAGGCACACTATCTACCCCTTTAGATATTGTTACACCAATTGGTTCTCAAATCAATAATTGGAGTTCTACTCTAGACACTATACTAGCCACCTCTTTACATAATGAGATGATGAAGTTGATGAAAGGGAAATCCATAGCTACTGAACCTACTTCTGCAGCAAACTTGGCTGCTAATTTTGTGGGTATTGACAATAACCTCACTAAATATTGTCTTACTTCCATTCTTTCCAAAGATACTTGAATTATTGACTCATATGATACAAATCACCTTTCTCCAAATTCTGATCTTATCCAATCCTTAGTTGCTTTACCTTATCTTATTCCTATATGCTTACCTGATGAAACTATTTGCCAAGTTACTAAATCTGGTTCTGTTCATCTTGATACTGCTCTTAAAATTTCAATGTTCTTTACATTCCTGCTTTTAAATTTAATTTGCTTTCTATTAGCAAATTATTGTTTGAGCATAACCTTCTTGTTATCTTTTACCGTAGGACCTCTTGACTGACACAATCATAGCAGTGGGCAAGTTAGATGGTGGGCTTTATAAATTGGACAGCTCAAGCTTCTCTTCTTCCTGTATTGTTTCTTATCTTGATAAACTTTCATCTTTAGTCTTTGTAAATACCATGTTCTCTAACATTCATTTGAATAAAGAGAACCATTCCATTTTTCATACCTTCTCACGTGATTCTTTTCCTATTTGGCATGCTAGATTGGGTCATATATCACATGATAAAATTTCTCATATTGATTCTTTGAAACTTGTTACTGATATAAATCATATTTGTCCCTTTTGTCCTCTTGCTAAGCAAACCAGGTTACCTTTTCCTCTTAGTTCCATACATGCTAAGATAACTTTTGCTTTGGTTTCTATAGACATTTGGGGACCATATCCTGTTTCTTCTATCACTAATGCAAGATATTTTCTTACTTTAATAGATGATTACACTAGGACAACTTGGACATACGCGATGC